CTCCATGTTTGTTAATCTGTTATTTATTTCATCATTGCTGAGTCGTTCATCGAAACAAGTATATTCGTAGTAGAAAGTACAAGTTTTGGGAGTTCCGTATTTCTCAAACATTTTCAATTTCCCAAATAATAACTCCTTCTTCTGGTGTGAATTATCCACATGTCTCGCTTTATGATTTCCTGAAGATTTTTCGGTATCTCTTGGCTGTTTCTTAGCATGGTTTTCTAGGCTGTTTTCTGTCCCACGTAATTGTTTCTGCTTCCTCTTTTCTTTGTATGGCTGTTTTTTAGGCCCCTCCAATTTCATTCTTTCAAGTTCTTCCTGCTTCTTGTTCGTCTTGTATTCCTGTTCTTTAGGTTTTCCCAATTTGTTCCCGTGTAGTTTCTCTTGCTTCTTAGCTCCTTCTAATTTCCCCTTTCTCTTCTTCTCGTTCTTAGGTCTCTGGTAAAATGATTCTTGCAAGGTCTCCGAATCCATTTTAGGATCCTTGAGATTAGTTCCGACGGAATCTTCCCTTTTTCTCACTTGATCAGTTGATCTTGCAGCTTCCTGCTGCATTGTTTTTCCAATCCCGTCTTCGGTGGTTTCCACAGACCTGTTTCCGCTGGTTTCCTCATCCTGCTGTCCTGTGGCCTCTTCATGTCCCACTCCGGCGGTTTCCCCAGTGTCCCCCTCTTCGATGGTCTCCTCTTCCTGCTGTTCTTTGGCTCCCTCATGTCCCACTCCTGCCCTCTCCCCACTGTGGCCTCCATCGATGGTTTCCTTATCCTGGTGTTCTGTGGCTTCCTCATGTCCCACTTTGGCTCCTTCCCCAGTGTCCCCCTCTTGGATGGTGTCCTCCTCCTTCTGTCCTGTGGCTCCTTCAGGTCCCACTCGGGCCTTCTCCGCAGTGTCCCCTTTTTCGATGGTCTCCCTATCTTGGTGTCCCCTGGCTTCCTCATGTCCCACTCCGGCCCCCTCCCCAGTGTCCCCTTCTTCGATCGTTCCCTTATCCTGGTCTTCTGTGACCTTTTCATGTCCCCCTCCGGCTTGTTGCCCATTGTCCCCCTCTTCGATGGTTTCCTCCCCCTGCTGTTCTGTGACTTCCTCATGTTCCACTCCGGCCCTTTCCCCAGTGTCCCCCTGTTGGATGGTCTCCCCAGGCTGCTGCTCTAGGACTTCCTCATGTCCCACTCCTGCCGTTTCCCCACTGTCGGGCTCTTGGATGTTTTCTTCCACCTGCTCTTTGATGGTTTCTCCCACCTGCTGTTCGATGGTTTCTTCCACTTGGTCTTCGATGGGTCCCTCCTCCTTATCCTCGATGGTCTCCTCAGCCTCCTCTCCTGCTGCTTCCTCATCTCCGACTCCGGCGGTTTCCCCTTCTTCCTCAACCTCTTCACTTTCTGGCAATCCCATATTTTCTAATTCGAAGTGATCTCCTGGTTTATTCTCTCCATTTTCCGCCGCTAAAGTTCTAGCAACCTCGTTATTTAGTCGTAAATTCACAAGAGGATTTCGTCCCCTGTTGTCATGCCTATGCTACACGCAGGTGCAAAATAATAATAAAAGCAATGAAAAGGAACAAGAAAAAAGGAAAAAAAAAAGAAAATATAGGCGATACGCATGCCAGGTTACATACGGTTGTTACGCTACCTATGCCAAACAGGGACAAGGACCCCCCATATTTTGACCACAGGACATATAAGCAATATGACTCATTCGACCACGGCCAAGAGGGTTTCGAGTGCCCCACAAGCACAGCACATAATAAATACCCATATACACAGGTCTGTTTCCTTATGCTCACAGCCAGTAGGGCCCGTGGGATTTGCAGTTCCATGTTTCTATATTAACATTAGCATCCCCATCTCTCTCCAGTACTCACCTTGAAAAAGATATAGGCACAAGCAACAAAAAAGGTAGTGACCCTCTTGGAAAAGAAAGATCCTCGTTTCTTTCCTGCATTGGTTTTACATCTCCTACAATCTACTGAAACTGCCTTGCCACTGTCGCCCCCAGATTTTTTGGCTAAAATAACTCCCTGTAAGGCACAGCTCATTCTGTTTGTATCTCCCATATGCACCTATGCATCCCATATATATAAACAAAGGCAGGAAAGGACAAGGTATAAGTGCGACTGCCTTGTTTTCCTTACAGATAATGTCCTTAGTAGTATGTAAAGAAGATATATATGTCTCCCCTATATAAAACTTACAGCTTCTACAAATGGAAAGAGAAACTGAACACAATGATGCTGATATACCTATTCATATATATATATCTTCTTACATAAGCCAATAATCGAGGTAGTATTATTTATTTTTCTGATATGAAACAGTAGAATTCTCAAAAGTGCTCGATTAAAGCATACAAATACAGTCTTCTGTAAAGTATAAATCGAAATTATAGCAACTATCTAAAAACTCACTAAAGAAAGATTAAGAATATTTGAAAAAATCTCCAATCCTTAAAGAAACAAACACTACAGGTATCATATATTAATCGCTACCCGTTTCTTTCTTTTCCTTTTCTTTTTTCTTTTTTCTTACAGTTAGATTTCTATTATAAAAAAGAAACTAATTATTCTACTCTAAGCGCTTAGTTCAATCGGTAAACGCGAAAAGAAAAAATACGAAAAAATTAAAAAAAATAACCTGAATCTCTCGATTAATCTGTACAGATATAAAAACTTCTTTTTTCATTATTTTATATATAACATGGGCTTAATTTAAAAGCTATGTCCCAGTTATCCATAGCTATGTAAAGAAAGTAGTACTTTCATGAATAACGGACGAAATAGAAGGAATGAGCGCGTGGAAGTAAGTTACGATAGAATTAAAAAAAAATTCTGAAAAAACAACACGGACAGTTTACATTATTCTGGGGCTTAAAGGAGGGGCCGTCCGAATTTGAATATGCCTGATTTTTCCAATATAGCTATCAAAAAAGAGACGCATAAAGGAGGCTCTTTATGATTACACTCCTCTTCCCAATAACATCTTACTTCTCTGAAACACGGGCACGCTCACTGGACATCTCAAATTTACTGGAACTTGTAATGAGCATATATGCTTATACATCCATCTGTGTGGTTAAAAGTTCAGTAGTGAAATTTTCTCCCCAATACGAAAACACCAATCTTCCTCGTCACAAGTACCTAAAGCGTATGTTTTGCAGAGTAGCGTAATTATTATAATGTAAAGGGTTCTATTCTTCCCATTTTTATGAGATTTTTTGTAGCATTTGTATCTGACGTCATATGTTTAATTCTATGGTACGCACTAGAATTTGCATGAACAAAGGGACTAGATCCACGAGCACTCATTCTTGGTATGCTTTTCTGATATTCTGATTCCTTCAACATCATGCTCTTCATATATTAAGACTTCCCTAAGCATGGACTACGAGAAACAGGAGATAGAGTGCTTAGAGGCTTCCTTTTGGGAAGGCACCTTTTGGTAGGTCCAGAAAAGGAAATGCCCCAGCCTCCTGGGCTGTTATTTACCTGTACATAAATATGTATATGCATTGCACCCATATTTTTTCTGCATTGAACCTGCTCCTCTCTCTGCAATTTGCACTGTACCTTGCCACACCCTTGTGTCGTCCTTCATTGTCATCGCCAATTCCATTTCCTTCTCTGTCGAAATGAGCTTTCCTCAATAAGCCAAGAAACCGTCCAAGCAAAGACATGATTCCTTGTCATACATGAAGCTAATGTACCTTCAACAACTTATGCTAATTTGTCGCTAATATTTATGTATATATATTTCCCCTTTTGCATCTATTGTTCTATTTTTTCTAAAGATTTCTGGCATGCTGCAGTACATGCATTTAAAACATAACATAGTGCATCACTGCTATTACATGTGGAACTAAGAATACTGCTAAGATTCCACCTCGATGCAAGACGGCTTTGAGAAATAGTCTTCCATCGCAAACGAAAATAATTGTGCCGTATTATACTCACTGTGATCACTACGTTTCTTCCTGAAAGAAATTAAAATGCACAAAAAAAAAAAGAAAAACGATATATATTTCTTCATTCAATTTTTCCTTTTCCCCGGATGCTAGAAAATTTCTACATAAAAATACCATACATTACTGTTCTATATCCTTTCTTACGTATTTTCTTTTGGCGGCAGAAAAATATATTGTCTTCCTCCCCTTTTCCATTCCACGTTTACCGAGTCTTCCTAGCACAATAATCTTAAGAAGTCAATAAAACACATACATTACAAACATTGTGGTTACGGAATAATTTCCTGCTCTTATGCATCATATTTTGAAAACATGAATCTCACTATATAACGTCCTATCATATATATATATATAATTTCCCTTTTATCACACGTACCTAATAAAATATAAAACTAATTAATACCTGCGTAATTTCGAAAACATATAAATTACACTTTTATGAAAATTTATATTATCATAATAGAATTATAATAATTTCCGAAGTGAAGTAATAGTCTATTGCAAATAGTTTATATGTGATAAAAGCGGAATCCGAGCAGGTACACTATATTTTCCTTTAGAATGATTCCGGGC